TCACCTATTGTGGAATACACATGAGCAATCACTCAAAGAAAAGACAGTTACCTTTTCCGTAACTGGTGTTCTTCGAGATGTGTTGCTCATGTCTATTCCACATCCCGCCCTCCTTCCCCTCTGTCGGAGTTGTCTGGCAAGAAGGATCTGAGGTTGGGGGGAGCGCGCAGCGCCCCTTATACCACAGCATGCAGGCGCCACTCCAGGGGTCACTGGGGCGCTCCACTACGGGTACTGTTAGGGGAAAAACTTACAGCACCGGTGCATGTGGCGAGCACGCACACCTATTGTGGAATAGACATGAGCAACACATCTCGAAGAACACCAGTTATGGAAAAGGTAAATGTCTTTTTTTCTAACCAGTGATATGTATGTCAATAATATCTTCCCAGTTTTAAAGATGGGGAAATGGAGGCATGGAAAGTTTAAGTGACTTGTCAAAGGGTACCCAGTAAGTCTGTGGCAGAAATAGGAATAGAATTTTTGTATCTATCCTGACTCTTGGTCCTATGTTTTAGCCACAAGGCCTGTTAAGCACTTTTTGCTCTGTGGCAGAAATGACAATCTGAACAGTTGACAAGTAAACTGCATGACCAGTTGGCCAAGTTTTTTTTATCTTCTGGAAGAGCAACTGATTCTGAATTTTTGGGGAGTAAATCCAACATATGGCCATTGTTGAACTAAGGGTAAGTCAGTAGGTTGGCCCTCTTATGTTGTTTGTCTTTTTCTATTAGTGTGTATGCTATTGTGATATTTGGATTATATGATAGCAGGGTATTTAGAGTGCCTGGTATATACAAATTGACATTCAGATTTCTGTCATACTGGTTGATATAGGAGACTCTTTTCTTTTCTACATCTAGTATTGAAGGACAGCCAGACTTCTGTGACTTGCAAAATTCTCTTGGTCTAAATGATTACTCCTAATCTGTTGATGTTCTGATTAAGATTCTAAAGTTCTGTGTCTGAATCTTACACTAGGTGTACATGTGCATCATGCATGCGAGATCAGATTCTTTTGAATAACAGAGTCTGTCAGGACCACACATGCACCCTGTGCCTCCTCATGTTCCTACACAAGGGATTAAAGGTAGAGTGGCTCTGACCCTCTCTCAATTCCCTCTTATCACCCATGGCAGTGAGAAGGAACCTACCACCTGGCCAACACACTATTCTTCTTAGAGACTTTAAAACCATTTATGTCATCAAATTTCTAAAGAAATATTTATCTTGACAGAGAGAGAGAAAAGAAAAGTTACCAGGGACCCTCCTGTACACCTGGATGACGCATTTCATGCTAACCACCACACCTTGTGGCAAACTCCAAGTTTTAAGAGTTTAAACCCTGGCCTCCTGTGAGTGACTGATCACCAAGGATGGACACAGTCAATGCCTCTTCTGCCTAGGGGAATGCCATCTCCCAGACAGATGCTCTGTGTGCAAGTCCTTTTCATCCAGGGACACCCAGCTCAAGCTATATCTGCTAGAGCAATCGATGATGGTAACTTTGGACCCAGAAATGAAGATTACTATTAGAACAAGGCCAAATGAGCCAGCGTTGGCCAGAGCTCCCTTGAGCACAAATCATACTCCAGATTCAAGCACTGGAGAGAAGGTAAAGAAAGCACCACCATAACTGGCATCAGTGACTTCAACACTGATTACTTCAACATCAGTGAAGTCTTCAACACTGAAAGCCTCGATAATGACAGTCTTGTCATCAACTGCTCTGGCACCTGCACTGGTCTCTCTGACACAGACATCAAAACTGGCAACCATGCCTGTACGTAAAGACAACACTCACCTAATATAGTGTCAAATGTGAAGGGAGGTCTCAGAGGGAGGACACAAAACATCATTCCTTGAAGGATACAGCATCAGAGTCCTCAGCCAGACCAGGAACAGCACAGGGAATGAGAGACCCATAGCTGTCCATCTGATGCACATGAAATACATATGATTCACAGTGGGAACCAGTCATTACCAGTGTAAGGTACTGCCTTTCAGGCTCTCCGTGGCACCAAGAGTTTTTACAAAGTGCCTAGAAGTACCAGTGAAGTACCAGTGACCCATCTCAGAAGAAAGGGCATTCCCATTTACCCCTACCTCAACGATTGGTTGACTCAGGGCAGTTCCTAGAAGGAGATGGTGGCAAGCTTAGAATATGTCCTGTCCCTGTTCTCTGAGCTAAGGTGCCTACTACACTCTCTTAGCTCATCACGGATGATAAAGTTCATAGGAGCCTTGACTCCTAGACCAGTGAAAGCATACCTTCCTGAAGACAAATTCCTGTTGATGCAATAGCTATCACTCAGAACAGGGGGTTCCACATCAGTGTCCTGGAGCTCAGACACATCAGGCTAGCCTTCCTATCTGTTTTGCAGAATTCTGCAGTGACAATCCGGACGGACAACACATGTGTAATGCATTTCATCAACAAGCAAGGAGGCGCATGCTTGTCTCCTCTCTGTCTGGAGTCCATCAAGTTCTGGACAGGGTGCCACCAACACAGGATAATTCTGATGGCTCTTCACTTATGGAAGTTAACTGTGACCTGGCAGCCTTCCTGAGCAGACGATCTCTGTCCAACCACAAGCGGTCCCTGTGGAGATTAATCATAAAAGCGGGGGGGAGAGGGTTCTCACGATAAAACTGTTTACCACCAAGGACAACATCAGGCGTTCCAGAGGGGGCAAGAGCCTAGGCTCCTTGGCTGATGCCTGCCTTCTGCAGTGGTATCCAGCTCCCCTTTTCACCAGTTCCACTGATACCCAAAGTGATTTCCAAAATCAAGAGACAGCTGTGATCATTCTCATAGCTTCATACTGGCCAAGGCAGTTTTGGCTGGCAAACCTGCTGCAGCTGTCCATTCAGCTTCTGATTCAGCTCCCAGACTTCCTGGACCTCCTTTCACAGGAGCACAGTCAGATACTCCATTCTGACCTTAAGTCACTGCACCTGACAGGCTTGGATATTGGCTGGATAAAGTCAGGGACTGCTCTAGAAAAGTCCAAAAGAGCCTGATATAGATCGGGAAGATCTATGCAGAGGGACTTGTTTGTCAAAATGGAAGAGTTTCTTAATTTGAGCAGTTCAACGGGGCCTGGACCGTACGTAGGCTTCAGTACTGCAGAGCCTCAACTAGTTGGTGCATTTACAACACTCCAGCCTTACATTTAGCTCTATTAAAGTCCACTTTGCAATCTCTATTTGCTATCCACCTGTACAGTCTTATTCAGTCTTCTCTCACTTGATAATGTCAAAGTGTCTCAGGGCTCAGTCAGAGAACCTATCTGCAACCTTAGTATTATCCTCTCAAGACTCATGGGGTCTCTCTTTGAGTCCCTTTCAGAATGCTGGTTGTCATCTCACTCGGAAGACTGTCTTCCTAGTTGCAATCACTTCAGCCAAGAGAGTGTGCTAGCTCCAAGGTGCTTGTGGCTGACCCTCCCTCCCCGATGTTTCATAGGGTAAGATTTTAGTATCACCTTATCCATAAATACATCACCCAGCTAGTCTTAAAATTACATCTGAATCAAGCAAATCTGCCAGTCTTCTTCCCAAAACCCCATTCTTACCTGGAGAGGAAGTTAAACACATTGAACATTTCCAGAGCCTGCCTTACTATGTTGACAGAAACAAATAGTTCAGGCTGTTTCCCTGTTTATTTCTGGCTGTTGCTGGCCACTCCAAAGTCCAGGCCATATCATCACAAAGGATATCTGGGTGGATAACATGTTGTATCTTACTGTGTTACCATTTGGCTGGTGTACCTCTCCCACTGAACATCAAAACTCATTCCACCAAGCTTCAAGCAGCATCCTCTGCCTGCTTCAGGAATGTTCCAGTTTTAAAGATCTGCAAGGCAACCACGTGGAGTAGTCCACTCAATCTTGACAAGCATTATGCATTGGATTTAGCTGCCAGAGCAGATGCCAAATTTGGGGGAGCAGCGCTCTAATCCCTGACTGATGCAGCTGCTACACATGCCACCATCCAGCAGGGGTACCGCTTGCCAGACATTTACAGTGTGAGAGCCACACTAGACACGTACTCAAAGAAGGGAGAAGGGTTACTTAGCCTGCAGTAACTATGGTTCTTCAAGTTAATGTGGTCCATGTGGGTCCCATTAACCACCCTCATCCCTACTTTCAGAGTCCTCTGCTACCACAGGGCTCAAATTGCGAGGGAACTGAGTAAGGGTCACAACAACCCCACCCTTTATGCCCAATCACAAGAAGGCACGTGGTGCATGCACAACCCCACTAGATTCTACTGTTAAATAAATCCATTTGCGCATGCATGCACACCTATAGTAGAATGCACACTGATTGAGTATACATACAGTTAGTATAGGGTAAGTATCTGTTCTTTCTTAAATTGTAGGACCTTGTTATATTACAAAGATATAAGTTGGATGATATGTGAATACATTATCCATCATAAAATCTTAATACTTAATATTTTTTTCATCTTTTTATCTGTAGATCTCAAAGTGCTTTATAAAGGGAACCATTATCATCTCCTTAAGATGAGAAAAGCCAAGGCATAGATTTTAAGACTGGGATTTTCAAAGGCGCCTAAGGAACTTAGCGACTCAAATCCACTGAATTTCAGTGGGATTTGGTTGTCCAGCTCCCTTAGGCACATTGAATAATGCCAGCCCAAGTGACTTGCCTGAGGTCACGCAGCAAATCAGTGGCAAATCTGGGAATAGAACCTATGTTTCGTCATTCCCACTATGATATTCTGTTCTCTGCACCATGCTGCGTACAAAATTGTAACCGTTTCTCACTTAAATTTTGTCAGGTGATATTTGCATTATTTTTTCTCATTATAGTTTGCATAGTACATTTAACTATACTTAAAAATGAAAGATTTTTTTAAATGCTCAAGTGCAAGGCTGTTAATATTCCTATATACAAAATGTATATATTTTGTTGGTCCCTGCATAAAAGAAAGATGTTATATTTAAAAAAAAAATGTTTCCCTCTCCCTAGGGACAGAAAAAGGGCTCGGGAATTTATAGAATCTGATTTTTCAGAAAGGTGAGTATTGCTGAATGTGTGTTCTGTATGTATATTTGTAACCAGATTTACTTTCAGTTCCAACTTGAGAGGGAGAGATGTCGAGTTCCAACTTGCAGTGGTTTTCCATTACTCTTATTCCTTAGCTAAACTACTTTAGTTAGAATAGTATGTCTGTAGTCATCAAAGAGACAAAAAAGAGAACCATTAAAAATAAATGAAACACTTTCCCAGAAGTGGGATGGTTCTGGTTTTCTATGTAACAAACACAGGTGTTAAATTATGTTTCTTCTTCGAGTACTGTCCGTATGGGTGCCCTACTCCAGCTGTCTTCATGTCCTTGCACCTCAGATCAGAGATTTTAGGTAGCAGTGTCCGTTCAGCCCGCACATGCACTCTTCCCATCTTGTGCTCTGCCTCGGTGCAGGCGAGCCACCCTCAGTTCCCTGCCTTTCGCCTGAGACAGAGCCTTAGCAGAGTCCGATTTCAGAGTTCATTATCTATATCTTACTTTTGTTTTGCAGTTAATAGTGTAGTTCCTAGAGTTTCCGTTAGTGTTAATACTCCCCTTCTTTTTTTTTCTTCTCTTTATTTTGTTGTTAGAATATCTAACTTCCTGTCCTTAGTTAGTTCTTCTTTGTTTCTTCTGTCTTGGGAAGTGAACCTTGGAAAGGATATGCCCGGATTCCCCATGTTTAAACGTTCTCTCTCTTGTCGAGAAGCCATTCCAGCCAGTGATGAACATTCCTGCTGCATTCGCTGCCTCAGAGAATCACACGTGCCTCAAAAGTGCACTTTTTGCATAAAACTAAAATGAATGTGTAAGAAGAACCGTGAACTAAAATTGAGATGCCTCATAATGGAAAGTTCACTCAGACCAACCTCTGACCCCAGCCCTGGGACCACTCCTGTATTGTGGTCTTCGACTAAGTCAGTTCTATCAATGTCCTCGGCTCAACACTCTCTGGTGACTTCAAAGAGGAAATCTTTGTATTCCTCTCAAAGAAGTGGGCTACAAGTCCCCTGAGAAGAGAGAGAGAGATATCAGACCAGGTCAATCACCTCAGTACCAACCGACCTATGGCTGGGTACCCACAAGGCTGCAGGCTTCTCAGTACCGATGCCACCAATAAGTCTAAAGACTCTAAGGGCGTAGACTCGGGAAGATCAGTACCATCAGGGGAAAGGAGTGGTAGAGAGCAATATAGCTCCTCCAAAGCAGCACCATGGAGTCCTCTTGGACCTCTGTACCAAGTACTTCGGCTCCACAGAAGACCAGAACAACACCTACTGGCCATTCATTGGAATGCAGAAAATTTCTGGTACCATCGTCTCCGTCTACATCAGCGTCTACTGCTCATCTTACCTCAGCGGTACCCACCGCTACTGCAGGAATTTCATTTTTCTGAAGACTTACTAATCTCAGAGACACCTCTACTCGGCACTGAGATGATCTCGATACTGGCCATATCTCGGTCCCCTGACTTATGTGCGGTACCGAGGCAATCTCCCCCAGCATCCATGACTGTTTCACCTCTGTCAAGCGACGATGAAAAGGATGACGATGATTTTTATTCAGTGTCCTTGGAAGGCTCCCCATTACAATATCAAGAAGCCAGCCACCCAGAAATCGCTACAACCCCAGTTTACCGCCATGGGAGGCACGGCTCACCCAGTTGGTATGGACGCCCTTGGGTGTCCCCACCTACGCACTTAGCACCGCCTCAGTGGCCCTACTGGGACCCACGGGTGACCTATAAACACCAGTTCTCAAGGGCATCTCGTGTCACCCAAAGGGATAGAGGAAGACAGTCTCCTTCAGCTTCTCTATCCAGACCTCCTGATCCTCAAGAGAAGATATTTAAAGAACAGGGAGTGAGACTAGATAAGGAGGTTACTCCTGTGACCAACATCTCTTCGTCTCTCCTGATGCCTTCCCCACCAACCCTGGCAGATGACTTCAGATAGTTTCAAGATCTCGTTAAAAGAGTAGCAAACTCGGTACAAATTTCGCCCGAAGAAGTCACAACATAAGCTGCTGGACATCCTACATACATCTTCATCAGCTTGCATTGCGCTCCCTGTCAATGAGGCCTTGCTCAACCCAGTGAAAACTATATGGCAGACACCAGCCAATACCTCCCACATACAAAAGAGCAGACAAAAAATATTGTGTTCCCTCTAAGGACATGGACTTCTTATTTTCTCGCCCATCCCTGAATTCCCTTGTCGATGCTGTAAATGAACATGGCAGACAGCACCCCGCTAAATCGGCACCTGATGACAAGGACTGGAAATGACTGGATTTATTTGGAAGGAAATCATATTAATCAGTGACTGACAATTTAGGATTGCTAATTACCAAGCCCTTATGGCAAAATACAATCATGTCAACTACTCTAAGTTAAATGGCTTCATCGAACATCTCCTAACTGATCAAAGAGAACAGTTTTAGGCAATCATTGCCTAGGGTCAACTACTTGCAAGGACATAGTTGCAGGCCTCTCTGGACGTTGCTGGTACAGCTGCTCACTCCATCTCAACCGCAGTGGTCATGCAGAAAGCTTCATGGTTTCACCTTTCCGGCTTTCCAAAGAGGTACAATCCACTTTGGAAGACTTTCCATTTGAAGGATCCAAGTTATTTGGAGAAAGAACAGAAGAATCCCACCACACATTAAAAGACTCCAGAGCCACGTTGCGTTCCTGGGGAATTTACACACCTACAAAAAAAAGGGAGATCTATTAAGTCACGGTTGGCACAGAGATCCCGGCTGGCTGAGTTCCCTCCTCCCCAGAAGCATTATGAACCCCATCGGAAAAGACAACAACGATAAAAGCGAAGATCACTACCCACAATCTTCAGCATCACAACCATCTACATCTAAAAACCAATTTTGATATATTGGTCGAGGCCCCGAGTTTACCCCACACACACGCTTTTATTTGCTGCAACAACCCAAACATCTCCACCTCTTTGGCGACCCGCCTTACTCTTTTTCGTCAAAACTGGGAACATATAATCACAGATAAGAGGGTATTGGAGATCATCTCCCCGTGATATTCAGTCCACCTTACCCACCCTCCCTCCCCATCCCTCTTCAGGGATCCTTTTCATGAGCACTTTTTATGTCAGGAAACAAACTGTCTTCTGAACCTAGGTGCTATAGAACCAGATCCTACTCAACACCAAGGGAAGGTTTTTATTCCAAATACTTCCTGATACCTAAAAAGAACAGCGGTTGGAGACCCATTCTGGATCTAAGGTCACTCAAGAGATTTGTAAAGATACAACACTTCAAAATGGTTACTTTGGCATCAGTAATCCCATCTCTGGACCAAGGGGAGTGGTTCTCTGCCCTCAACCTACAAGACGCTTACTTTCATATCATAATCCAGTCATCACACAGGAAGTTTCTAGGAATCTTTCTGGATCAAGACCATTTTCAATACAAAGTGCTCCCATTCGGCCTATCATCTGCACAGAGAGTGTACTCAAAGGTCCTTTCTGTGGTAGCAGCATACCTTCGTAAACTAGGAGTTATGATATTCCCGTACCTAGATGATTGCCTGCTCAAAGTACATTCCTTTGACAACACTGTGAGAGTCACACAAGTCTATGAATCTATTCCTACAGCTGGGACTACAACTAAATGTCCAAAAGTCCACTTTAACCCTAGTACAACATCTGGAATTCATAGGGGCCTACCTAGATGCAGTAGAAGCAAAAGGTCCTGCCCAAAATAAGAAAAGAAAGGGCCAGGGTTATTCTTATAGTTCCAACATGGCCAAAACAGACATGTTTCCATACCTTACTCAAATGGCAATTTTCCTGCCAAACACTCTCCAGCCCATTTCTCACTTCCTCTCTCAGTATGCGGGACTGATCTTCCACCCCAATCTTCAGGTTCTTCACCTCAGTGGCTCCTCGGTGTTCCAAAGTTTAGAAATGAACTGCTCTGAGGATGTAAAGGAGGTGATGCTACATAGCAGAAAACTAACTACTCATCACACATACATTCAAAAATGGAAGAGATTACAACTCTGGTGTGACTCAAGACACATTACCTCTACATCCTCTCCACTACCACTTGTGCTAGCCTACATCCTAGATTCTAGGACCTAGAACTAAAAAAGTCAGGATTATCTCTAAGCTACATCTCACAGCCATCACCGCCTTCCATCATAAAATAGACGGTTATTCTGTGTTCGTTTATCCTACAACAAAAAGGTATCTCAAGGGTATGGGTAACCTTTTCCCACATCAGATGTCCTACACCAGCATGGGACCTCAACATTGTCCTCAAGTGCCTTATAAGGTCTCCCTATGAACCTATGGCTGCTTGCTCTCTTCTACATCTTGCTATGAAAACCGTTCCTAGTGGCCATCATGTCTGCTCGGACAGTGGGAGAGATAGGGGCACAAATGGCATACTCCCACCCCCATTTTCAAAGACAAGATTGCCTTAAGACCACACCCTAAATTCCTACCAAAAATACCATCGGACTTCTACATAGATCAGTTTATCCACCTCCAAGCCTTCTTTCCCAAACCACACCAGGACAAAAGGAAAGCAACATTACACACACTTGATGTCAAGAGAGTATTAGCCTTCTATTTGAATAGGACAAAACCTCTCAAAAAATCTCCCAGACTATTCCTCTCCATTGCAGACAGATCTAAGGGATCCCCAATCTCTAAACAAAGACTCTCTAGATGCTGCATTACCTATTGCCATCGCTCTCATAACCTTCAACCTCCTTCTGGAATACTGCTGTAGACTCACCATAGGTACACTACTCAAAGAAGAAGAAAGGGTTACTCACCTTATGCAGTAACTGTGGTTCTTCAAGATGTATGTCCTTGTGCATGCTCCACTACTTGCCTTCCTCCCTCTGCTTTGGAGTTCTTATCAATGAGCTCTGTGTTAGAGAAGGAACTGAAGGCAGTTCACCCAAACAATGTTATATAACACTGAGGCAGAGCATGAGATGGGGAGAGCACATGTGTGGGCAGAACGA